AAAGGGAAAAATACTAGAAAATGTTACTACTCACTCCTTTGACATAAATTTCAATCCAGTTTATGCAATAATTTTAGTTTTAAACATCCCTATTAGGAAACCAAATTAAATGTGTGGAAATCTAACTGATGGATGGCTAACCCTTTATTTACAAACAAAAGTTAAATGGAAATAAAATTAAGCCACTCAAACATCTCTTAAAAAAAAAAAAGAATATGGGGTTAAAATTTGTCGTTTCAAGCAACTCTGGTTTACACTTTGGCCACTCAGAAAGGAAATGTAATAGGTGAAACAAGCATACTGTCAAGAAAGCAACCAAAAAGTTTGTGTAATCTCATTAGAGAAAAAAAGGTGTCACCCTACACATTCTCTGAATGAGAACTGCTAACATAATATTCGGCAATTTTCTAATTTCAGATATGTGACACAGACACATGCCCCTTCATTTATTCTTTATTGAAGTCTATTCTACAATCCCGGATTGATATAAATATAGTATTCTTTGTGATTAAGCAAGCATTGTTTGCTTATGGCACTTTCGTGCACACACCAAATGTGGACCTGAAGTAGTTCATCCCTAATGGACATCTATAATGCCCCAGCATCATTCCTACTATACCAAATAAATACAATAAAGTTACTAAATTACAGGTAAGTGTCTGCTTGGAAAAAATATCTGGCATCAGGAGACCACTATGGCATTCTATCCCACTGACTTACCCCTTAACATTTTTTTCCCCCAAACAGATTCCATTGAAATAAAGGTAGTCAACCACTAATTATTTCAAATTAAAACTCCAACATGGTGTACTGTTCTTAGCATTTATCCACTGTCTAACAGAACCCTGGCAATGTATACTTCTAATCAAAATGCATTTTATTCTGCAATACATTTTATATTCTATAGCAGTGTCTACTTGTGACCACAATGCATTTCATTCTACAAATGCATTTCATCTGCCAATGACAAATGTTTATATCAACATACAAAATGTCTAAGTATATGAAGTGCATTCTGTTAGAATCCAGTGTTGCAACATGCATGATGACAGTTCATTCCTGCACACTTGTTCTATTAGTTCTTTTTACTACCAAAGAAGTTACTATTATGTGCATTGTACTGATTCTTGATGGCCCTGGAATAATAAAGTCAGTCATGAGCCTCTAAAGCTGCCAGAAGACCACACTTCAAGTATTTAATGAATTCCAGCAGAGACCTGAGAATGAATCCCGCTCAGTATTTGATCCATCCAGTAGTTATCTGCATGGTATAATAAAAGTTTTAAATTTTAAACTCTTATGTTATCACTTAGAATTTAAATGATCATTGTAAAAGGTTTTGACAGTTTATTCACTGCAGAGGAATAGACAAGTGTATAGTATGGTTAGCCACAAAATAATAGGCCAAATTTATCCCTGTCATATAACTCCACTGATTAAGTGGAGTTGCATAAGGGATGAATTTGATTACCATGTTCAGTTAAGGGTTTGAATTATATCACGTAAACAAAGCTCGGAATTGAGGCAGAATCACTACCATTAACTATTTCACCACGGTACTTGTTTGCATTTGATCTATTATTATATGTGGGAGGGGGCCACTGAGCATCTGAACATCACAGGCAAATTAAGACTGGATTCTTATCTTTAGATGCAAATTTCAGTGCTGTTGTGTGCAGCATTTTTTTTTTAAATATAGCACAAACATAGTGTGAAACTTTGTACACCAGACACAGCGCCATTGTATAAATAAGTAGGTTTAGGCAATATTTTAAATGACTTAACTTACGTTTCCAAACAATTTTTTAGCCTGTCACTAAGAAAATCTTTTTAGACAATTTTAGAGAGCAATGTGGTTTGCCCAATTTGCCTTAATGAGTTCTTGACACAAACATTAGTAATACAAGACATTGCAACACTAATATGGAGCAGCACATTAGAAAGCTTTACTGCCCATAACAAAAACATCGCAAGAATACATTTTTATTGTAAATCTTTTGTGATGCTTACCAACATTTTTCTTTAGATACTTTTAAAATAATTATTGGTTCTTCTATCAGAAACTGGATATTTAAAAATGTAGTTGAAAAAGAAATTCAGTGCCCATTAGAAACAACATTTGAACTTGCTATGCACTTGGCTTTCAATTACAAGAACTTTTGATGAGTTTCAAAAATAAGTTATCCTTCTAGTACAATAATGTACTATGTCCAGTGATTTCTACTAATATTTTTAATAGGTACTGAGGCACGTAGACAAAATATGCATTCATGAGCGTGTGTATAGCTGGAGCGCTATACACTAAAATAAATTCAGTTAAATTTTGATTATTTCATATTATGCATTTATTTCAATGTCATCACAATGCATTCTAAAAAGTCTTTTTAAAAATTGAAGACAAGCGGAAAAATCTATGTTAATGCCATAACATTTCTGAGATTTTAGATGCACAAAATGTCAGAACATTCAAAGTTGTATTCCCACAGCAAATGTAATTCTGTACATATATGGTGTTAGTATTTTTACATTAAGGCATAAAAATTAACACTTTGTGGACCTGATCAAGAGCCCACTAAAGCCAACAGGAATCTTTCCACTGACTTCAGTGAGTGTTGGATTACGTCCTAAATGTACAAATTGACTAAATTACAGTTGCTTTGGGATACATTTGAACTTCCTGATTTTTGTGTGTGTATCTAGATGTCTACCACAATGTTAAACAACTTTTACTAAATATAAAAGCCTAATTTAAAGAGCTATACTTAGGGCCCCACCAAATTCACAGCCATGAAAAACGTGTCACGGACCGTGAAATCTGGTCCCCCCGCCATGAAATCTGGTCTTTTGTGTGCTTTTATCCCATACTATACAGATTTCACAGGGGAGACCAGCGTTTCTCAAATTGAGGGTCCTGACCCAAAAGGGAGATGCAGGGGGGTTGCGAGGTTATTTTAGGGGGATCATGGTATTGCCACCCTTACTTCTGCACTGCCTTTGGAGCTGGGGGCCAGAGAGTGGCGGCTGTTGGCTGGGAGCCCAGTTCTGAAGGCAGCACCCCGGCAGCAGCAGCCCAGAAGTAAGGGTGGCAATGCTATACCACGCCACTGTTATTTCTGCGCTGCTGCCTTTTTCAGAGCTGGGTGGCCGGAGAGTGGTGGCTACTGAGGGCCCAGCTCTGCAGGCAGCAGTGCAGAAGTAAGGACAGCAATACTATACCATGCCATCCTTACTTCTGCACTGCTGCTGGAGGCTGCTCTGCGTTCAAAGCTAGGCTCCCGGCCAGCAGCCGCAGCTCTCCAGCTGCCCAGCTCTGCAGACAACGTCACCGCCTGCAGCAGTGCAGAAGTAAGGGTAGCAGTACCGCAACCACCACCTACAATAACCTTGCGACCCTCCCCACACACAAATGTTTTTTGGGTGAGGACCCCTACAATTACAATACCTTGAAATTTCAGATTTAAATAGCTGAAATCATGAAATGTACAATTTTTAAAATCCTCTGACCGTGAAATCGATCAAAATGGACTGTGAATTTGGTAGGGCCCTAGATATACTGCATGCCTGTAACCAGACTTCAAACATACACACACACACACACACACACACACACAGAGCTGTTAAACAATAACTGCACATTTCAAAACTGAAATTGCTTTCTCAGGGATAGCTAGTTTGTTTTCTTTCAGACAAAGGTGCCACTTTCCAATAGTATGAATAAAAACAAAAACATCTAAAACAAAGATTCACAGTTCTTTTACACTTAGGGTGAAAAATCCTGAATCTAGTAAAATCAATGGGAGTTTTGCCATTGACTTCACTGTGGCCAGGATTTCACTGTCAGAATTTAGGACCCAATCTTGGGACTACTCACAAAGTTAAAGTTATGTTTGTGCTGAAGCATTTACAGAATTGAGGCCTTGAAAATTTTTCTGGGGAAAAAGGAGAGATTAGAGGAAGAACATGTATTTTAAGTACTATATATCGACTGAGAACTCGTTTGCTAAATTTCATGTAGAGCACATCAACATTTATAAACGCTCAAAGATCTAATTTTACAATAGAACCAGACAAACCCTTAACTATACCACATTAGCATATATGTCACTACAGTAAGTTTTTAAAATAAACCTTTTACATGCACCTCAAAGCTGCTGCAGGCATTTTTGTAAGTGGTCATGCTTATATTTACTTTACCTGAACATTTACTGTACCTGTCACGCTGCGTGTTAATAAAAAAATAAGACTGAATATTAGGCAATTTTCATATATCCTTTCTAAAGGTATGACATGGTTTTAGATATGACATTTTAAAGTTTCACTGTACAAGAACCTGCTGAAAGTAGTTTAGTGCCTTTCGACAATGATCAAAAATTAAATACAAAAATATTCTGTTTAGTCAGAGAAAAAAACTAACACTCAGAAAGCAACATTTCTCTTCTTCCCCACAGCTCCTATTTTGAAACCCTTGCATAAATGACAGATGTTGATATTCAAGCTTCCTAAGAATATCTATAGTTCTGAATCCACTTCGTAAAGAAATGGCATACTAGTAATACTGCTCTGGAATGAAAAACATACATACAACACACAGTTACTAATGAAGAGAAAATAATGGCACTTACTATCTCCCCCCAGCCATACAAAAGTTTACAATTAAACACAGCAAGCAGAATCAACATGTTTCCCCTATGCTAAAGTTGAAAAGGCATTACAGAGCGTACTTTATGAGAGAGAGAACTTCTTCAATGCATACATCTTGGAATATTATAGCATATCTTATCAATTATTTGGACCAATTCTTTTTAACTGATTCACATGCAACTCGCATTGCCTTCAATGGGAACTAGGTACATGAATCTAATAGCATCCACTAGATTCTTGATTTTAGAACTTGTTTAGAAGTCTCATGCTAGGAAATTCAAGGGTTTAATCGAAATACTGCCATATTAATTAAATAAACTACTCACAACTAATGCACACATACACAAAACAGTACTTACGGCGTTTCTGGGAAACAGCCTGCAAACAGGCTGTGACAATATCACAGTTCTTCTGCACTTTATGTAAAAGCCTATCTTTCTGCTTCAGATGACGAAGCAGCTTTGCTGACTGAACACAAATTCTGTAATTCAGTTCTCGTACTATAGTTGCCAGTTCATCAGCATCTGTCAATAAGCAGAACACAAAATTATTACAGTCCAGCCTGAAACACATATGACTTGAGTTGACTGAGTTATCTATGGTAACTGCTATAGCAGCCACTCCAAGGACCCATTGCTGCAGATATTTACATATGTAGCTTTTCTAATGATAGTAGCTTTATTGGATGGGACTATTCTAATGTATAAGTGCTTTCAGGAGCAGGGCCAAAGTCAATAATTAACTTGCACACACTGTATAAGGGCAGAATTTTAATTTTTCTGATTTATAAATTTGTGCTTATTGTGACAGATGTAGCCAAAAATACCTACTAGTTATGCTGTTACATGTATGCCTTAAAATATGGTTCTCTCTGAAAACAGTGTATGGAAAACTGGAATGTTCTTATTCATAGATCTGATCCCTGTATGTATTCAGAACCACGTTCATGGACTTAGGAGTAATAATTTATTTTTTTACTCTGGTTACCATGTAGAATCAACAGAGGGAGTGAGATTGATTTTATTCTTTCTTGTGTATCAGAGCCATTCACTAAGTTACAGTTACACTCATGCAAACACTGACAAGTTTTGGTTCATTAAATATATTCTAGACTGAACTAATAGTATGCTGAAATTGCAAGTTTCCACTAGAGACTGAGATTACCATCCATAAAATCAGATGGAGCAATACCACCTTAACAGGCCAGATACAGAAGCAAAAAGCTTTTTGCACAGATTTGAAGAAATTGGCAGGTTTCACTTCCTGGTTTTTTCCATGTCAACAACAAGACTGATTTAACATCAGGAGACAAGAGGCCTATGTATAGTCCTCCTTTCCTTAATATCTAGTGTCACGGTTGCTTACTTTTCATGAGCATTCTTGGATAGGTTCATTTTGCTATTGTCTGAGTTCAAGTTTTCCAAAGTGTAAGACAAATGCTGTAACAGCTTTGTTTACTTTTTACATTTAAAATTTCCCCCACCCGACTCAATTTATTTCCAAATAAGCTAACATGTCAAAAACTTCGTCAGAAATAAAAAAGTGACCCAAATATTGACTACCTTTAATAATGTGGAATTTGTAATGCATGACCAAGTCTACAGAGTTATTATGCTTCGCTAGTTTAAAACTATAGAAATTGTGCATAAGGTCACACAGAGCTAAATAAATTCACAAAACCGGTTTCCTGAAGGCGCCCTCTATCTGGCAACGTTAAGGTCAACAAATCTTTCAGGAACAAGTGACAGCTGGTCACTATTTGAGATTTATGTAATTTCAAAAAGAAAAAAACCTGGAACCCATGTTTTGTGAGACAGATTCCAGAAAAATATGAACACGTTTAACTGAAAATAATGGCCCAACACACTCACGCTGCACCTGACATTATCATCATTCAAGCACTGAATATTTTGATAAAATCCTGATTATCCCACCCTCCTTTCCCAGGAGTTATGCAGGTGGAGGAAGGGGCAGTTTCTCAGAGAGGAGAAGCAGCTGTGTAGATGGGAAGGAAAACCATTCTGGTTTGTTTTGTTTGTTTGTTTTGGCAAGGGCGGGGGGAGGCTGGAGAGGTAATTTTTGTGCAGATGGAGGAAAAGGTAACACTTGCACAGGCAGAGAAGGTGAAGAGGTGGGTGGAGAAATAAGTCCAGGATAATAGAGAGGAGGAGATGGGAGTGGAGGGAAAGGAGGCAGGATCAAAGAAGGTGTCATCTATAAGCAAATGTGAAGGATTTGAGTGATATAATCACTGTGCCTCTGTACAAGGAAGAGTTTGACGCAGATCAGGGAAGGGGTTGTACAGTGGGCAGGGAAGCGGCTGGGGGCAATGGACAGAATAGGTTACTCCCTCTGAAGTTGTGGATAATTTTGGAGCAATGTAACCCGCATGTTGGTGGCTGGCCAGGGATGAGTGTAGGGTGCAGATCAGGACACTCCCAATGCTAGTGGAGCGGCTACACAGGGATAGACTCATAGACTTTAAGGTCAGAAGGAACGATCATAATCATCTAGTCTGACCTCCTGCACACTGAAGGCCACAGAACCTCATCCGCCCACTCCTGTAATAGACCCCTAACCTCTAGCTGAGTTACTGATGTTCTCAAATCATGATTTAAAGACTTCAAGTTATAGAGCATCCACCATTTACACTACTTTAAACTCGCAAGTGACCGGTGACCCATGCCCCATGCTGCAGAGGAAAGTGAATATCCTCCAGGGTCTCTGCCAATTTGACCCAAGGGTTCAGGTTGGGGTGCAGGGTAGGATACTCTTTGTGCCAATGGAGTGGTGGGGCAGGATGTTCCCCATTCCAGTGGGGCAGGAATTCAGATTCGAAGGCCAAAAGGGACCATTGTGATCTTCTACTCTGACCTCCTGTATCACACAGGCCATAGAACTGCTCCCTAACTATCCTAGGGCATAGTTTTCATAAAAAATATCCAATCTTGATTTAAAAATGGTCCGGGATGGAGAATCCACCATAACCCTAAGGAAATTGTACCAATAGTTAATTATCCTCACTGTTAAAAATTTGCACGTTATTTAAAATTCTGAATTTGTCTAGCTTCAACTTCCAGCCATTGGATCATGCTAGATTGAAGAGCTCATTATTAAATATTTGTTCCCCATATAAGTACTTCGAGATTGCAATCAAGTCACTCCTCAAGCTAAATATATTGAGCTCATTGAGTCTATCACTGTAAGGCAGGTTTTCTAATCCTTTAATCATTCTCGTAGCTCTTCTCTGAACCCTCTCCAATTTATCACATCCTTCTTGAACTGTGGACACCAGAACTCACACAGTATTCCAACAGCAGTCATACCAGGACCAAATACAGAGGTGAAAAAACCTCTCTACTTCTAATCAAGATTCTCCTGTATATCTCTGAGGTTCACATTAGCTATTTTGCCCACAGTGTAACACTGGGAGCTCATCTTCAACCTATTGTCCACCGAAACCCCCAAATCTTTTTTCAGAGACACTGATTCCCAGGATAAAATCCCCAATCCTGTAAATATAGCCTACATTCTTTGTTTCTATATGCAATACATTTACATGCAGCTCCATTAAATCGCATAGTGTTTGCTTGCACCTAGTTTACTAAGTGATTCAGATCATTCTAAATCAGTGACCTCTCCTCTTCATTATTTACCACTCTCCCAATTTTCAAGTCTTTTGCAAAATTTATCAGCGATGATTTTATGTTTTCTTCCAGGTCACTGATAAAAAATGTTAAATTATGTAGAGCGAAGAACCAATCCTTGTGGGACCTCACTACATACATACCGACTTGATGACTATTTCCTGTTTACAATCACATTTTAAGATGTATTAATTAGCCACTTTTTATGTGTACCATAATTTTATATCATCCTAGGTTTTTTAATCAAAATGTCATGTGCTACCAAGTCAAATGACTTGCAGAAGTCTACGTATATTACATCAACAGTACTTGCAAAGTTCATCAATCAAACTTGCAATGTCACCAAAAGAAAAACCCAGTTAGTCTGACAGAATCAATTTTTCATAAACCCATGTTGGACTTTCATTAATTACTTTACTCCCCTTTAATTCTTTATTAATCGAGACCTGTATAAGCCGCTCCATTATCTTGCCGAGAATCAACATCAAGCTGACAGGTCTAAAATTACCTGGATCTTCTTGTTTACCCTTTTTAAAATATGGCACAAAATTAGCTTTCTTCCAGTCTCGTAGAACTTCCCCAAACTTCAAAGTCTTATCGAAAATCAGCATTAATGGTCCAGCAAGCTCCTCAGCCAGCTCTTTTTAAAGTCTTGGATGCAAAATAACTGGACCTGCTGATTTAAAAATGTCTAACTTTAGTAGCTTTTGTTTAACATGCTCCAGAGATACTAGTGGAACGGAAAGAGTGTTATCACTATATGATGAGACTATATCATCTGTGTTTTCTCCAAATACAGAACAGAAATATTTACTGAACACTTCTGCCTTTTCTGCATTATTATTGATAATTCTACCATTTTCATCTAGTAATGGACCAATACCAGTGTCAGGGTTCTTTTTGTTCCTAACACATTTAAAAAACTCCTTCTTATTGTCCTTAACTCAGCTGGCCATATATTTCTCCTTGTGTCCCTTTGCTTCCCTTATCAATTTTCTACAATTCCTAAGTTCTGATTCATATCCATTATCATGAATTTCCCCTATCTTCCATTTGTTACATTTAAAAAAAATGTATAGCTACTTTCACTTCCCCTCTAAACCAGATTTTTTTTTTTTTAAACCAGCACAGCTTCTTCTTCAATTGTGAGAGTGTTTTTTGGAGCATATAGTAAGATGTTCTTAAAAGATTCCCAATTATAGTTCACATTTTTCTGATTAAATCCACTCTCCCAGCTGATTGGGCTCACAGTTGTTTTCAGCTTTATGAAACTGCTGCTTTAATAGGGTCATGTATACATGTTGCGGGCCTGGACTTTATTCTGTTTGCAGGAATGAGTTTGACATGCAGGTGGCAGTGGGAGGGCCGGGCAGGAATGAGGCTGACATGGGGAGAAGGATACTCAGTGCTGATGGGGTGGCCGGGCAAGGATGAGATGGGGGTGTGGTGCAGGATACCCCCAGTGATGGTGGGGTGGAAAAGGCAACATGAGGTGGGGGTCAGGGCAGGGTACTGCCCGTGCCAACAGGGTGGCTGGGTAGGAATAAGGTAGGGGTGAAGGACAGGATGTTCTGGTGGCTGGGCAGGGCTGAGGTTGGGCTGCAGGGCAGGAGACTCCTACTGCTGTGGGGTGGCCACAGTACTGGGTTTACAATGGTGCCAGTGGTGCCAGACCCACACTTGGAAGGGGCCCATAACAACAACTTGGAGGCCCACAAATGGTTAATCCAGCCAAGCCACTGGCAAGCAACGTGCTGCAAGGTGCGTGGGGAGTTGTAGTTCGCGTGCCGCTGCCTTCCACTGGGGCCCTTGGATCTGCGTCACCAGCTACACTAGTAGTCCCATAATGCCCCGCACCATGCTGTGAGCTGCTGCCCCAGTTGAAGTGAGTGGCAGCAGAGTGGACCAAAAAAAAAAGGAAACGGTGCAGGGAGAGGGTTCCCAGTGCTAAGGCGCTGAACCCGCCATGTCGCCCTCCCTATGGGGCACAGGGTAGAGACTCCTGGCTCGGCCCTTCCACCCCCAGGTCTCCCCCACTCTCCTGGGGTGGCAGCAGTGCTGTGACTCCCAGTGTGCGGCCCCCTGGCAACCCAGATACCCAGCCATGGGCTCCTGGGCACCATCTTGACCCTGCAGCTTCATGCCTGGGGTGTGTGTATGTCTTCGGACACCATGCAGGGTGGCGTGGGGGAGGCTGGTTGTCAGTGGCCCTCAGGACCGGGATGGCAGTGGGGGGGCAGTGACAGCAGGGCTGGCTGCCGCCCCCCTGCCAGTGGGAATGCCCAGAAACTTCTCCCCCACAATCTTCCTCCCCACACTCCACCCCAGTAACTTTACTGTTTCACTTAAAGTCATGTGAGATGGTGAGGCAAAGGGAGAAATAGGCTAAAGAAAATAAGAGTTTTTTTAAAGTTTTTTAAAACATTATTGTACCAAAGTAGAAAATCCAGCTTTAAAAAAAATGTATTTAAGAAACATAACTTTGGGTGGAGGGAGGTGGTGCAGAGATGCAGGTGCAACTCCACTGACTGCTACATCCAGGATTAATATGGCTCATAAACGTGAAAATTAAACACTTGTATTCAGGTCCCCAAGCAGGCCCCAAGTCTTTAAACACAAAAGGCAAAACTAACAAACAACCCCCTCCCAGACAAGTAAACCAAATTCAGGAATATTCTGGGTATATTGATGCTAGCCCAGTTTGTTCTCTATGAACTGAGTGGAGGTCTCAGTCAAGCATGGCTCAGATATCTTATTTTGTTTTTAAATAAATGTTTTCATCCCCATCCCAGCAGTACCATATTTACTGTGCCACCAACGGTTCCATCGCGCTGGGCCCACACTCGGAAGGGGCCCATAACAACTACATGGGGGCCCACAAATATGTTTGGTGCCGGGCCCAAAAAAAGGTTAATCCAGCCCTAGGTGGCCGACCAACATGAGGTGGAGCCACGGAGCAGGGTACTCCCAGTATGGCGGGGTGGCCGGGCAGAGCGGAAATGGGGGCAAAGGGCAGGAAACACCCAGTGCCTTGGGGTACCCGCGCAGGGCAGAGATAGGGACAGGAGGCGGGAGACTCATGGCGCCTTGGGGTGGCCAGGCAGGGCGGAGATGGGAGCCAGGGCAGGGTACTGTCAGTGCAGGTGAGGTGGCTAGGTAGGGATAAGGTTGGGGTGAGGGCCAGGATGCTCCCAGTGCTGGTGGGGTGGCTGGGCAAGGCGGAGGTGGGCCTGCAGGGCAGGAGACTCGCGGTGGCCAGGCAGGGCTGAAAGCGGGCGCGGGAGACTCCTGGTGCCCACGGGGTGGCTGGGCAGGGCGGAGGTGGGGGCGGGCGGTCCGTCCGGTGCCTTTACCTTTCTGGCCCAGATACTCGATCTGGTGCCGCTGGCTCGGCCGCTGCTGCAGCTCCTGGAGGAAGCGGGACTCGGCGCTGCTGCCTCTGCCCCCGGGGAAGACATCGGAGCCCGCGGACGCCTCGGTGGAGCTGTCCACGCTGTCCCGGTGCCGGGCGCGGCCCCCGCAGCTATACAGCTCCGTCAGGAGGCCGCTCACCAGGGACGAGGTGCTGCGGTACCTGCCCGCAGGATCCTCCTCTTCCTCCTCCTCCTCCTCCTCGGCCAGGCTGTCCGCGCTGCTGCCGCCCCTGCCCCTAGCGCCCTGGCGCTGCGGGCCGGGGCTCCCCGCGCCTGCCGCGGGTTCCCAGGAGCTCCCGCCCTCCAGGTCTATCTCCAGCAGCTCCATCCCCCGGGGCCGCCGCCCGCCCCAGCTGCCGCCTCGCCATGCAGGGCGGCTCGCGGCTCGCAGCTCCCGCCCCTGCCTGCGGCCGTCGGCCGAGTTCCGGGTTGAGCCAATTCTACACCGGGCAGCGGGGGGAGACTCTGTACCTGACATGAACTTGTCTCCGGCCTGACGCAACACCCCCCGCTGAGTGGTACAGGCCACCCTGGTACAGGGTTGGGGCATTGCACCTGCTGCGAGGGACCTCGTCCTGGGACACTGCACCTGTTGTAGAGGTGTGGGGACCCGGACCCCCCGCCCCAAGAACACTGCAGCTGCTGCGGGTGGGGGGGACTTTCGCACAGCCACAAGCCCCATCACCTGTCAGAAAAACATGCAGACTAAATTATGGATATTTGAGTTTGATTAAATGTTATTTATATAAACCCGGTGAGAGTAGGTTTGTACCTATGTATCTAGCTGTGTGGGATGGGGTGGGGGCCCTGTTATGAATTTGCTCAGCCCAGCGAAATGTTATTTGGGTCTGCTGTGGAAACTCATCATGAAGCACCAGGAGAAAAACCACACTAACTTTCAGTACTGGCTGAGCAGCTAAAGTCTCCCAGGAATGAATGACCTGGTTGGAGAGAAAATGCAGAGTGAGTAAAAAGAAAAGGAGTACTTGTGGCACCTTAGAGACTAACACATTTATTTGAGCATAAGCTTTCGTGAGCTACAGCATCCGATGAAGTGAGCTGTAGCTCAGGAAAGCTTATGCTCAAATAAATTGGTTAGTCTCTAAGGTGCCACAAGTACTCCTTTTCTTTTTACGAAGATAGACTAACACGGCTGCTACTCTGAAACCTGTCAGAGTGAGTAAGTAGTGTTAGAGAGTACACTGATTTCTTTATTCTAATACAGTTCTTTGCTAATATTAGAAGGAATCAATTGTTTCTGTGATCTTTTCGCCGTTGACACGACATGACAACCCAGCACCTGATTACCTTTCTTTTTTGAACAGCCTGCCAGGTATATACGTTTGTGCTACTGTACCTGAGCCAGATATGAGAGGAAAAGCAAGCCATGTCCACTACTCTCTCTTTCCCTTACTCATCAGTAGCCAGCTGCACAGATGGCATTGGCCTTTTGAACATAATAACAATAAGTAATATTTAGTTTTGTTATAATAGAAATTGTGATTCTCTTCACTAGCTCTGCTACACCGGACTTCAGTGTAGTACTAACAACCTCACTTTCAAAATTCTCTGTGTAGTGTATTTCTTGGCTAGACTCCTGTATAATTTTCTCAGTTCAGAAGCTGCAGACTCACAAGACTGCACCTGAATTTCATCCAGTCCTCAACTCTGCCGAGTCATTCATCAAGGTTATTGTTTTTCACAGTTACCATGGCAATTTTATTTTCAAAAGAAAACAAAAGTTGCTGAAGACGACCTGTTCTACTGTACAGTTGTCCCCAGGGGGGAGCAACTGTAAGAGCAACCTATCCCAAGCCTAATACAGTAATAGAAAACAATGCAAGAAACTGTCTTTTATGACCAGAGATCATCCACAGCGCATTTGCCTCAGCTGTTCACAACAGCACCCACTCCATACAGTATTTTTCCAAATGGTTTTTATGTTCTGTTTAATGTATTAATTACAACATACTGTGCAGCAACCCAAAATGTCCTAAGCTGTCTGTCACAAACATCATCTGTGAGCTCTGTATCTATCCATATCAAATGATTAATGAAGGTCTCTCTATTAAGTCTCCCACCTTTGTTATATCTTCACTGTAATGTGCATTGCTGAATCTCTCATGTACTTCTTTCTTCAGTGTTATCAGTTATCTCAAAGGCAGACCAGAGAAGGGAAAATTTAATGACATAAAGTATACCAATATATTTAGACTACTATGGTTATGGTTAAGTTTAAGATTTTGTCAGGGTTATTTTTAGTAAAAGTCACAGACAGGTCATGGGAAATAAACAAAAATTCATGGAAACTGGTGACCTTTGACTTTTACTAAAAAAACCCTGACAAAATGGGGAGGGAGGTCGAGCAACCACTGCTGCTGTGGCTCCGGGGTTCGCCAGGCACCCATAGTGGTTTGGAGATCCAGGGTCCTCCCACTCCCACAGTGGCTGAGAGCACCAGGATCTCCCCACTGCCTATAGTGGCTCAGAGCTCCGGGGTCCTCTCACCGCCCACAGCAACTGGGAGCTGCAGGGGCCTCTCGCTGTGGCTCGGAGCTCTAGAGCCAGAGGTTGGGAGTTGGGAGTGGCCCTGCCACCTACGGCGGCTGAGAGCTCCAGGGTCCCCACTGGCTGACAGCTCCAGCCCCACTGCCCCGGGGCTGAAGTGGAAAATGTAATGCAGGTCTCTGCAATTTAGATTCTGTGACTTCCATGACCTCCATGACATAATCGTAGCCTTAGTTATGTTTATTCTGAAATAAGAGTGTCTACAAGAAGAATTATACTCGTATATCTATAATGGTATAAATATCCTGGTATACCAGGATACCAGTATAATTATGCTGTTAGATTTCTGCATGTAGACATGCCCTTCGTCTTTGAACCGGTGCCAGCTCCCATTGAAGTCAATTGGATTTTTGCCAATGACTTCCTTCGATGGGTTATTTGTAGTGCTATTGTAGCAGTCTTGGTCCCAAGATATTAGAGAGACAAGATGGGGGAGTAATATTATTGGACCAACTTCAAGTTGGTGAAAGAGACAAGCTTTAGAGCTACACAAAGCTTATCTCTTTCACCAACAGCAGTTGGTCCAATAAAAGATATTACCTCACGCACCTTATCTCTTCCTTTAGTTGGGGCAGTATTAGGAGCTATTTTCGTCCACTTTTCCACCTTCACTTTGAAAAAACACTATCACTAGATATCATTAACAGCCCTTTCAACTCACTTGCATTTAGTGGACTCCCAAATAGAAAATGTCATCCTCCCACTCAAACAATATCTATGATCATAAGACCTAATTTTATCTGCGGGAATCTCACATGGCATCCTATTTAGAATTCCTCAGGGAGGATAAGCAATTGTTGACATATCATAACCCTCTGGATCATCTTTGAAAGGAGGGTTGTTTGCATTACCTATTACCAAAAGGAATTTTGCAGCAGCATGTACACCTTAAAATAAAAAAAGAGCTACCAAGACAAAACACTACATTGTGTATCACATGTGACAGATGTTAGTTATATTGCTTAATGCATTAGTGGAAAGTGTTCAGGTACTTCTGTGATGAGAGCAAAATAAAAACCAGAGTAGAACAGAATAACAAGCACAAACCTTGTAAATATCATGATGTTAGAAGTTCATTTAGTGGAGCTGTGTTTTTTTTAAAGGACACCTTTTGGTAATATAACAAACAAAATTAAAAACAACAAAAACAAATAAGACCATAACCAAGAAACAAAAATCAATTAACCAAAGCAAATAGTAAAAATAATAATCCTACCACAAACAGATTTTTTTTTTACCCTCAAAAGAGAAAAGCCAGAGGTTCCATGATGTCCATTAAGGACTTTGCTATTGTTATTGTTTTTAAGTGGAAGGTTCCAGATACTGCAGTGATGGGCAGCAGTATAAAACCCTGAGCCAGGCACTCAGGCAGGAAGATTTTAAAGAGGAGGTGAACACCCACAGCTGCTATTCACTTTAATTGGAACTGTGGGAGCTCAGCACATCTGACAATGAGCCCCAAGGTGAATACCTGGGGCCAGGGAGAGAAATCCCAGCACCCCAAGCAGGCATGTGGTCATGGTGCCTTGTGAAAAAGACCCACAGGCTCAGCACAGGCCAGTTGCTAGCTTTACCCAGCACGCACCAGTGGCTGTATGGCCTGAAGTGTGGAGTACCAACAATGCCAAACATAGTGCTGCTGTGGGCAGTCACTGGCCCTGTGCACAGGCTGGACCTCCGTCCTCAGCTGGCTGCCTCCCAGCAGGGTGACACCAAATGTGGGGGCTTGACAGTCCTGCCTAACAGAGTCCCAAGCCCCAGGAGCAGCGCCAGGTCCCAGTAGGATGACCAGATAGCAAGTGTGAAAAATCAAGACAGGGATGGGGGTAACAGGCAGATACATAAGACAAAGCCCCAAATATTGGGACTGTCCCTATAAAATCAAGACATCTGGACACCGTAGGTCCGAGAGAGCACGTCAGGAAACCCAGGCCACACGCTGCGCCTGGATGTCACCTATGAGGGGGGCAGTGAGGTGTGTGGGAGTGAGGCAGCGTAGGCCAGTTTGAGGGGGAGGGTGTGAGGTGGGAGAGGGCATGGCAGGTTGAGGGGCCGGGAGTGAGGCGGGGTTGCGGCTGGCTGAGGGGGTGTAGGAGTGGCGCAGTCCGGTAGGAGTGAGGCGGGGGCGGGGCTGGCTGCGGGAACGCAGGAGCGAGGCGGGGGCGAGGCAGGTTGAGGGAGGCGAAGCGGTCCAGCCTGGGGAGTGGGCGTGGACGGTCTGAGGGGGCGGGGCCGAGGCTGAGGACGGGGGAGGCCAAGGCCGCGGCTGAAGCCGGGGGGTCACGTGACAGCGCCTGCTGCGCTCCCTGGTCATATGCCGGGGGCGGGGCGCCGCCCGAGTCGGTTTCGGTCTGCGCTCGTCTGCGATAGCGCCGGCTCGGAGGTCACCGCGCCGCGCCCGGGTCCTGCACGATGTCTCCCGCGGTGCGGGCGCTGGTGCTGGCTGCGCTGCTGGTGCTGAGCCGCGACTGGGGCTGCGCGCAGGCGGCCGGGACCGGCGGGGCGCGGAAGCCCAGCGTGGTGCTGATCCTCGCCGATGACCAGGATGTCTGCCTCGGCGGCATGGTAACCTGCTCTCCCTACCGCCCGCGACGTGGTGCGCCCTGGGGGCCCGGCCCCACTGCTGGGCCTGGGGGGGAGACGCTGTGTCCCCGTGGGGGGCTCTGCTCCCTGCCCAGGGGTGGTCCTGCCGTGCCGCCCGCCTCTGGCGCAGGCAGCCCCGTGCTCGGGCCCGCCGGGCGCGGCAGCGTTTGCTCCTGGCCTGACCCGGCTGGGGGTGAGGGGCGGGGCTCGGTGGGGCAGACGCCCCCCTTGCAGTTACCTAGCTGGAGGGCAGGGAGGGTCTCTGCTGCACCCAGGGCCGCTCATCGCCGCCTTGGCAGCGGGCCCCCTGCATCTTGGAAGCGGGAAAAGCGCTTTGAGCTCAGGCCATTTTGCGGGGGGGGGGCGTATCTGGCTGCATAACAGGTGTTCTGAGGCTGTCGTGCAACTCCCCTC